TTTCAAGGATTTCGAAGTGATGACCAATTGACTAACGTAAAAAACTCTCCATGAAAGATATTGACCCTATTATTTGTGGTGGCACGTTTGAGGGTTTGTACATCAATTACGGCACATGAACGATTTGAAACTACTGCTCCTTATGTGTCAGGTGGAAAACTTTTTGACACGCCTGTATGCATTGAAATGTCTTCAAACTCTCGGAATGTTATTTATGTGTGATAAAAATAACCTGTGCAAAGTTTCAGCTCATTACGATATCATACAGGCATGGCTTCCATTTAAATAAAGAGGCTTACGTACGCAAGCTGAATTTTCCGCATGGAACCGAAATTTTGGGAATAAACTGAAATTATGGACTATGTATGGTTGCAGTAACTTAAATTACCGTGAAAACTTTTGAATATTATTTTCCTATCAAAATAAATAATCAGACCAAGTTTAAAGAAATTTCAATAAAAAAAATAGCCTGTTCAAAGCTTCACATCATTACGGTACCACAAAGGCATGTCTTTCATACAAAAATGAATTTTTTTTTCGATTTTTGTATGAAAAGTCTGTGAAAAATTGATTGCATCTTAAAGCTAACATCAGATTCGGGCTTCTCGTGCCAAAAAACCCCCCAATACACATTCTTTCAGCGTTCAAATTGAAAGAATATCATTTTAAGGCATTTTTCTCATAAGTGCCTCTTCAGAGTCCAAGTTTTACACCGATAAATCAATGTCGTTGAAAATTGACCAGATCTATTCCTCGTAGTGCCCAATCATCCCGTGAAGTCACATTTTGAATTTCATGTCTGAGCACGAAACCGGTCGTGTCACCAAAATGGTTGAAAAATGATCAAAAAATGTGTGGATGTAGGTACTCCATTCGGACCAAAAAAAATTACACTGGTCAACAGATATTGCTCAAAAACTTATCAGCACGTCTCCTAGTAGTCCCAAATCATCCTGCAAAGTCAGAATTTGAATTGAGTTTTTGGAAGAAGACTTATCGCGGTAACAAAAAAAAAGGAGCCACAGGACACAGGACATATCACACACAGCGACGCACATTAATATGCCCCAAAATCATCTTCAATCATGTTTTCTACATGAAATATGCATAGAAAACATGTTTTGGGGTGACTTTAATTTTTTGGCTTGATACAATACCTTTCCTACACTAGGTGTGCGGAAAAGTAAAATCATTTTTTTTTAAATTTTTGTATGAAAAGTGTGTCGAAAATTATTTGTATCGCAAAACTAATATCAGATTCGGTTTTCTCGTATCCAAAAACCCCCCAATACATATTTTCGAGTGTTTAAAAATACATTAAATGTCACTTTTGGAAGAAAAGTTGAATTTTTCCCATGGATGGCCATGGGCATCACACCAGACATAACACTTTACTCTATCAACCAAAGTCGCTCAAAATCCAATTGTTTCTATTCCTCGGCACCCTCAATCATCCTGTGAAGTCAGATTTTGAATTACTTTTCTGGTTTGAAAGTTATCGTGTTAACAAATTTTTGCGTACAGCGTACAGGGTACCACGCAATACATTCGGACATCGAAAAAACGCTAGATTCGTGTTCCCTGGATTCTAAAACACCCAGAAAACATGTTTTTTGAGGGTGTTAATTTTTCGACAGATTCCAATACTTTACCTTGCACACTAGGTGTGTGCAGAAAAGTAAAAGTCCATTTGCAATGGCTTTCTACAATGTTGAAATAATCACACTTACTGCTTGTTCGTTTGGCACTTGTGCATGATTTCTTACTGGAATTTTGTTTTCGCGCGAACCAATAAATCAGGAAATATAACAATATACAGAAGGTCAAGTCGAAAATAATATATTTTCAACACAGTTACGTTTTTGAATTTAAATACACTGCATTATGTTTGAAAATGTTTGATGTTTCATTGAGACCTAAACAATTAGGTCTAATTTAACGTATTTCGAGATATTTCTTATATCATTATATTTTTTCGTATCCTGTCGTTTCAAATATGGTTTATGAGACCCCTTGACGACTCAATTTTAAACTCTTTATTAAAAAATGGTTTTCGCCTTACAGTTGAAATATAAATTAATTATCTTATCATGTCTAATGAAGATCATGATTATATAGATAAGTAAACACTACACTTATGTTGAATAACTGTTTTATTTAAAATTCAGCTGAAATTATGGCCAAGAAATTTTCCAACTCTGAATCTTTGTGAAAATGGAAAAGTTTAATAGAACAATGCACTTTTTTCGGTATTTTTAATAGATATAATCGATTTCTTTTATTTGACTTATTCGATTTGAATGATAACTTATATGCATGAAAATCGAAGTTAATCTTCATTTATCTAGAAAAAATGTATGATTGGCATGGCTTTTTTCATCATAGATCGAAAGCGGACTCAATTGTGAGCTGATATCCACATTTTCAAAAATCAACATTTTTTTATTTGGCGAAAATTGGGAAATTTGTGAACTTGAGCGGCCATCTATGTTTTAATATCTTAGTAATACACCGTAATATGCAAGGTTTTTATTGTGTTGGTTCACTTTGAAAACTAATTTTACATAATTCGGACCCAAGAAATTCAATGGTGGCAACCGTTTTGAGAAACTAATTAAATTTATTGAGATTTTTCAGTTCATATACTTACAAAATCTTAATATTGCGTCGCCTCTTTCACCGCAAAAAATATAAGAATCCACAAAAATCTATGAAAATTAATGCATAAGACATTAAAAAATACTAAACAATCGTGCGATGTTAAGCGTATTCAGTTTTTCGTATATTATCTGTTCTAAGTTTTAGCCATGCATTTTTGAGGCGACGCATTATTAAAATTTTGTATGTATATGATTGCGTTGCAATTTCGAAAGAAGTGTTTTGTACTTATATGTTGAATATATTTAAAATAGATATAAAATGGTAAATAAATTAAGAATAAATATTATATCATTCATATTGTATAAATCATATATAATGAAAAACATTGTTTTTAACCCTTAACCGGGCAGGTCGGGTCTCAGAGGCCCGGTAGCGCATTTTTTTTTTTTTTTTAAGATACATAAAATCGCATAAAATATTATTTTAATCAAACAAATTGTTTTGTAATATATTCTTTCATCCTTCTACTAATCGTTGATAAAAGTTGTTTTGAATTTGGTTCCCTAAGTAGGGCTGTATTGAGGTTTGAACAACCACCGGACGTACATTTTCCATACAAAATGTCATCAATTTTTTTAAAATGAAGTTCAAAATTTGTACTAAACAACTACTGAACTGAAACTTAAATTCATCCGATTCGGAATAAATATTAATTATTTTTTCATTTTTTCAGTTATATTTTACAAAAAACATATTTAATTCAATATCTATTATGTTAAAACAATAATTTTCGTCGTATAAATTCAATGAAATTTGAAAAAAGAAAAAACAATTTTTCATTGAATTTGCACGGAAAAGGTACGTCGGGCCGCAGAGGCTCCACTTGCCCGATAACGTTATGATTTTGACCTGCCCGGTTAAGGGTTAAATAGGTGTTTGTGATCTTAATCTGGAATTTGATTCATTCCCGGAGTCATTTCTGGAACCTTTTTTCGCTGGAATTCCATTCCAACCTTCCCATCTAAAAATTTAAACATGAAATTGACTTTAAAACATTATAGAATATATTTTATTGAGCGGTAACTACAAACCTTTGTTTGATTAAATGAAATACGCGTCGCTTCAGTACGAATAGAATAAAAATCCAAACCCCTTGCAGCGATAGTATTATTTCGGTCCACTCCGAAAAAATGCTAGATCTCCAAATTAAGTACGATATACCAGATATGCTGTAAGTCATTCCCATCACGATGAAAAGACGTAAGTACATTCTGAAACTAAAACCAACCCAACATTATTAATTGGATACTTTTATCCACGAAAAATAACATTCGTTTACTTACTTTCCTTTGGCAGTATTAAATTTAGCTTGATGCCGGAAGCTATCCTCATGCGACGTAAGTTTGTACATTTCCTGTTTGACTCGGCAAATTTGACACGCCGTTAAAATGAAGAATATTACATTAATTGTGAATGTGGTGCAAATAAAACCAGCCACCTCCAATTCGTCGACTTTGTCTGGATCAACTGATTTCGTAAAGGGAAATTAAGAGTAAAATACATAAAAATTAAACGAAAAATAAAATAAAACTCAAGAAATTATACCATTTACAGACTTCAGTATGTCCGAAAATAGCTGGAAAATATTTAGCAAAAATGGCGATATAATTCCATACAGCATATACCATATGAATCGCCGTCTCTCCGTTGATTTATCGATTTTGTTTATATTTCTGTGAAAAAGAAAACTCTAAATAACAGATTTCTTTTTTGTGATTTCTGGTGAAATTCTCACCTGAAATCCCTTAAATTCCACCATGCATCGAACGCGGTCACATTCAGCCTTACAAAAGATCATGATTATATAGATAAGTAAAGACAACACTTATGTTGAATAACTTACCATTGAAAAGCGCATAGAAATAAGTAAATCATAAGTGGTTCCCAATATGAATCCAAAGTTTTATTGAAACTCAAAATTTCCAAAATGAAACAAACTGCTTGACAAATCAGATAGCACAAAAAGCATTTTCCGTGTAAATTTTTGTGCAAATCTGGTAGACACAGGTAAACGAGGAATGTGGTAATTAAAAATGGCACAGATAAAATCATAGCTGTGTTAAGAGAAAAGGAAATCTATTAAGAATGTCAAAGTATACAAACAAGTACTGATTTGTCTCACATATGTGTTCAATATAATCAAGAAATACTTTTGTGTCGTTGTTTTCTGTAATATTTTCAACCCAATCAATACAAATGGATACATTCAGGTCATTTTCATCAGTTTCATCATTCATTCTGTTTTGACAGTATCCTCGAATAGTTGTTTTATTTTGCGGCAGTATTTTTCCAGCCTACAAAAAAATAAACAATCATTTCATATCATCAAGCCAGCTTATCTTGTTGATGTAATCGTTATTTCTTACGTTAGCGATTTGGAGTTTTATCTCTTCTTCGATATAAAATTGTTTGCACGTTCTGTTTTTCACATTTGTTGGTTGCTCGCCCAAATACAGATTGACAAATTTCTGTTTATCACCAACAACTTCGCCTTCCATTTCCGTTAACTCTTCGTTGCAATTATAATCCAAATTGATTGTGGTTTCTTCCATTAATTTATCCAAACAGCAGAGTCGAAAACATTCCTTGATATTGCATAGACAACCACGAAAATGTGATTCGGCCTTTTTTCTTTCGCCATTGTCAATGATGTAATTTAATACTGCATATTGATCGTAAGGAAAATTGATGCCATCAAATAGGATGCTTCGATCCGATTTATGTATTCCATCGGTGATATTAATTGAATCGAAGAAATAACACGGCAATTTCGAACAAACGATGGAATTAGCTTCGTTTACTATAATGAACGTTATGATAATTGCACGAAATGGCAGCGAAATCCAACCGAAATTCATATTGACAATCTAGAATATTAAATAGAATGTCAATTTATGGATGATTGATGTTTTCATGCATTTAAATCGATTTACTTAAATGTTTTACTGGAACGTCTAGAAATTCATTAATTCATTATTCGGTCAGCTCATTAATTCTGTACATTTTGGCATTGTTAAAATTCATAATAACAGAATGACGTAGTTTTAAAGAATACTCCCCTTTTTGCGCACATTTTTGCATTCATTCAAATATTCTGTTCATTATCTACAATCGTTGTGTATGAGAATTGTGAACCACATAATCTTTGAGAGTAATCAAAAATAAAATATAACAACAACGATTCACAGATGCTTGAAATTGTATGTGACGCCAGCTGAAGGCTGTTCATGTTTTTATTCGCAGTTCATTTTTAATAGCCCGATCACATCCCAAAATCGTTCCAAATGTTGCAAGATTTACATGTTAATTTTGCACAACAACATGTAGATTTATTTTAATATTGGTTGATGTTTTGAAATCAATAATATCTTTTTTATATAAATAGAAATTTCCAACACATATTTTGGTTTAAATCGAATTAAAAACACAACAAACTCATCATTTCAATTAAAAACTAAAAATTTATTTTGTATTTATAAAGTTCACACTCTACTTAATTTACAAAAAAATATAGAAAAAATGTTATAAGAATTGTATTTTCAAAGCAGACACAACTGTTCACATCGCCGGCATGGAGGAGACTATCTGCATATTGTTTGAAGTGAATTTCGTAGATGATTTGGCACGATCAAGTGTTATCACAGCCTTTGCATACGTCACATGCCGCATATGCTGTTGTATATATTTACATATGAATGTACTAGCTCGTAAAATTTCATTGATGATACAATCCGCTTACGAACACCAGACAACAGAACAGCATGATTTAGTAGACAAACGATTACACAAGTTTTATCTCTGCTCGTGTGACATACGCATTGCTCGTTTTCTAAATAGGTTTGTTACCGAATATCCTATCTGATCCCACAGATGAACCGAGCTTTTGTTCTTTTTATTGTGAAATATGATTGCTTGTTACTGTATAAAATATTGCCTATTCTCACAGCGCATGTGAAAATGGTATTGTAAACGGAACTGAATATATTTCTATTATATGCCATGCATTGATTAGATAGAATGTATCGATTTAGACACGTTGGAGCCTCTTACGGAGTAGCTCTAGCCAGCTGGACGTGAATGAAAAACTTCATAGTTATTGCAAACTTTTTTTTATTTACGTCGATTATCATATTTGAATTAAATAAATGTTTAATTTATGCAGATCAACACATTTCTATTTAGAATGATTAATTATAGTTTTTGAGAAGCAGTTGAGAAGGAGACGATGAGAAAATAAAGCATTGAACATTATCGCTCACTAATATTCATGATAAAATAATAGAATTTAGTCTAACCGGGACTATATTTGTGCATACTAATTAGTACATTGCAATGTCATGGTATATGTTACATTCATTCAACTTTTGAGCGTCATTGTTAATCAATGATAATGAAAAGTTGCATCGGAATCCATCACACTATAGACGGTAAACAATTAAGTAAATGAATGGCACGCACTGTGCTCAAGCCACTCCCTGACCATTATTTATAATTACAGTAGAATGCAAGTCAATAATAAGGAAAGTCAAACTGCGTTTTATTGTTGTTGTACTATGACGCATTTTGAAAACACACGACCTGACTCTTGCAATGTTTTTGGTAAGTTTCTAACCAGTAGTTCTAAGAAATTTTGGCAATTAGTCTTCAATTCATTGCAATCGGCTGCTGGATTGAATTTCAGCGACTCAATTGAATGATGGCCGAAGTGAGACATTTCTTTTTGCCGGTCAAATCGCACTCTGTTTACTGTTTGATGAAACCGAATGTGTTACTTGTTGTGTTTATTGCCACTATGTCAAAAAATTATTACGCATAAAATTAGTAATGAGTAATATGTACTCTTATTAAATAGTCTATTCGACGATTAGACAATACTTGAGTCATACATTTCTTTGAATAGAGGAACACTTAATGCATGTAACATTAATATACTGTTTTGAAGTATCTAGAAGTAATTCTAATCGTTCAAGTAATAAAAAGCACCGAAAGAGGTTGAATTTCATCAACATGTTTGTCAAGCACAAATTTTTGCTTACAGACATTAAATGCAATTAATATTCGTTCTGTTGCATACTATTGGTACGTGCCACTGAATAACAAGTTCAAAAGTAATGAGAAAATGTTTTAAACACTGTTTTTTTGATTGAATACTAAAAAAATTAGTAAATTTTCCATCATATAGTCAATGTTTGCTATACCCTAAACCAATTGATTATATTGTCTATGACTCAAATATCACATTTCGAGATTATTCAGCATGCTTGTGAACAAAGAGACTAGCAAAGAGAGATATTGATTGATATAGATTTATTCATAACAATAAACGATTTTACTTTCTTTGCGTGTGCTTTGAGTCTTATAGAGTGTTATAAATGTTCCATAACTATATAATTGAATTATTTCGTCTCTTATAAGAAGCTTGTGACTATTTATAGCCACATAATATTTCATGGAATGCTTCTTATTAGTTTCGTAGAACTTTTTCGCGAAATGGCTTGGTGGTTTTTGGTGCTGTCTTCATGGCGTCAGAAAATGTAAGTTTTTCAATGTAACGTTAGAACGTCATTAGATGAGAATGTCGACCCGGTTTTACGATGAAAAAAAAACATGCAATATTCTATTGAAAACAATATATTAAACGAAAACAATCGATTCCGCCCAATAGAAGGAAGTAAGTAAACAATGTGTGTATATGAGTGTTTCACGTCACATCCCGTTGCATTTCGGGAATTGAGCACACACGCATTTCAAACATGCCACACATTGAATTTGCATAGCAACGGTTTTTATTTATCCACAGTTTACTTAAATTGGGCTAAACGTTAGTTAGTATTCGGGAATATTTGACACATACAACGCACATAGCATACTGTGTAGTGAGAAATTGACAAAAATGGATACATTTTTTAAAAACGAAGAAGAAAATCAACGTAATTTAGAAACACGATGGGATCGAATTGAAAAGCGGCACATCCATTCGGCCATCGTATATGAACCCACCGATGCAACAGCAGAAATTTGTAAAAATTTTATACAAAACAAGGAATTTGTTACGAATAATCAACTGAAGACATTAATGGGCGATAAATCAAAGAAATATAATTTGGATCCAAATCTTGTAATGGATTTGCGACATTCGAAAGTAAGATTTTTTGTTGAAACATAATATTTTCCAAGCGTTTTCTTTAAATTTATATGTGTTTTGTAGGTAAGACGACGCAATAAAAGTGCCACGTCGGCAATTAATCGACGTGCAAAACATTTTGTTGACGAACGAATGCATGTTCAAAAAATGTTTGAATTGAATCGTGAAATTTCAAAATACAAACAAAAATTGACGAAAATCCGACCCAAGTCAAATGATTTTCACACTCAAAACGCAGCAAAAAAATGTTATTCGGCTCGATCAGATGGATATTTGAAAATTGCCATTCCATGCGGAAGAGGTGACGATGGAAATGATGAAGTGAATGCCAGGATTGAAAATGGTGATGATGACTTGAATTCACAAGAAAGTTGCCCAGTGGAAAATAAACAACATCTTGTTGAAGATGATAATGAATTGTACGATGACAATCAAGAGACCAGATCATTGTCACCACTTTTAATTCCATCTCAGTGTTTGTTAGACGAAAGTGATTCAATGAATGGAATTGATGTAGATTTGACATCGGACCAGCAACCGATTCCAAGTGATTTTGAAAGCACATCACCTTGTAGTTCACACACTGAACTCAAAACTGTAATTCGACCACAACAAATAACATGTAAATCTCATGATGATTTTGAGTTTATTGTCAAACCAATGATTATGGTGAATATTCAAGACACCATTCGATCGAATATACCCAATGAATTTGGTGGTGAAAGCAACTCAAAATCTCAAGCAAAACCGTTCAATTTCATTCGAGAGAGTAAAATTGACGTTAACCAGCATATGTCAATTCTTATTAAAAAATTGTCATCTGAAATTGTCGACCAGAAGAGTAGATACGATTCATATATGGATGAATCGACTGTGGGAAATCACATTATAAAAGAAGTGTTCGATAAAAAAACGCAAGACAACTTTTTAGTTTTGCAAAAGTATTTTCTTCGTTGGATACATTTTAATACGATTGAAAAGTTGAAGCGTCGAAATCCGACACAAACCCGTCTCCAAAAGATGGAAGCATTTCTACAAAATATCACATTGGAACGGAAACGAGCGTTGAATAAATTGAGACGACCAGGAAATATGCTGGCACCATGTCATAATGCTGAATACAGGCGAATGACATTGCACGATCCCAACATGGAATCGCCTCGTTTGCTCATCAGAACCTATAACAATAAGTAAGCTGGAATTTTTTTTAAAATACAAATAAATGACATGTAAATTAATATAATAATAAGTAACAAAAATTCACCAAAAATTATCAATAATCATAAATTGATTTTTTCTGTATTCCGATGCAGGCTTAAAACACAACAAGACATTATTGAACTGCAAAAAATCAAATTACAGCGCCAACAACGAATTATTACTGAAATGAAACTCTCAAAACTGCTTGAAGACACCAATGACGCTGAAAATCATCTAAAAGAAGAGCTTAGTATTGTAGCCAAAACAGGTTGTCAAAATTCACGTTCGAAAGCCAAGTGTCTTCAAATTGCTGGCAATCTCAAAGACAAAGACGACGATATGAAATCTGAGCTCCAAGCCAAGGGTATAACAGCGCCAAAATTTCTCATAGAAATGCAAGCACGTGCATTGGAACGTGAAATGAGACATCAAGAAGCGCAACGTCGACGTGAGGCGCTTGAACGAGAGAAAGAAGCATTGAAAATGGCTGCTGAGGAAGAAAAAGTAACTCTTGTTTTTTTTTTTCATTCATTTGTTTCCATTTAACCATTTATTTCTTCTCAATAGCGTCGATTGGATGAGGAAGCAAAACGAGAACGAATTCGTGAGTATTGGCGCAAGCGGCGCCTGGAGAAGGAGATTGAAGCAAAGAAAGCGCTGGAACGTATGAGATTCCTCACCAACTTGGAGCTAGCAAAGGCATTTAATCGTTCCCATCTGCTAAAATGGGCGATGGAAAAGTTCAAAAACATAGTTCGATGGAAACATCGAAATAAGCATGTCAGCACTGAATTGCGTCATCGAATGCTTTACCGAGACTACTTCCACCGATGGAAAAAGCACACAAATCGAATTTGGGAAGAGCGCAAAGCAAAGGCTGATGCGTGCTATCATCTTCATTGTAAGCTGATGGCATGGGCCAAATGGCAGGAATGCTATATGATCATGCGAAGAAAAGTATGGTTGGCTGATGACTGGTTCCATTTGAGATTGTCAGAGCGTGTGTTTCGGGCCTGGAATTGTGTAACAGCACAAACAAGACTTATTTTTGAAATTAAAACTAGGCAAGCTGAGGCGCATTTCAATTGGTACGCTTCTTTTTGGTTTATTATAAAAACAAAATCATTGTTTGCATACATTTTTTTAAAATTCTGTTTGTCTTCGACGATTTTAGGTACATGAAATGGAAAGTATTGGAACATTGGCGACGCTTACATGCCATTCTTAAAATCGAAAAAGATACCGAAGAGCGACGTGAACGTTGGCGTAGCAAAATCTACGAACTCATCCCTGATTATACTCCAAATGTCGAATTTATTTGAATTGTCTGTTAATCTATTCTATCAATTTTTTCAATGTAAATAAACATTTGAATACAACGCTATTGCTTTAACTCGATTTTTCAATTCTTTCTTGTTCCTTAAGCTTGGACCGAATTTCAGGTGTCACATCAAATTTTGGGCCATGTCCTGGTATTATTATGCCAGACATTTCCGCAATAATTTGTCGATTCTTTCGCTGTTGGTTGATATCATCACTTCCAACACTAGTCCAATGCGTCTCATCATCAATGTCCTCTCGTTTCTCGAACAAGTCACCACAAATCGCTACTGAATTCTCTGATAAATCACTATTTTCAACAATTAAAGTAATTGAGTCGAGCGTATGACCTGGAGTCGACATAATGAAAATGCCTTCGTCGATGGCATACGTAGTTGTGTTATCAAACGTATATCGATATTCATCTTTATTCGATATCGCATGACCAACAATATGCTCTTTTGCCTTTAAAAACAAATAATTGCATCCGATATGATCACTGTGACCATGTGTACACACTACATGTGTGATATCATTCACATTTATACCATGGTTCTGCAATGCTGGCAAAAAAACAAACAATATTATTCTTCGTAAAAGAAATTCATGTCAAAAATAAACATTCCATTTGAAAAAAAAAAAAAAAAAAAAAAAATTGAAAATGTTCATAAGTGAAATGTACCATCAATAATTTCATTTCCATCCCAAGATGTTCGTGTATCAACAATAATGCAGCTGTTTTTTCCTTTGACCAATGTACAGGTACAATTCGCCAATGTCGTTGTGCTGTTTACTGTCTTTGAATAGCCATCAAATAGTACAATTACTTTGTTTCGATGCATTTTACATCACTTCAGTAGATTCAATAAAAGAATATTTCAACCAACTAGCGTTTCCTTTAAGGTAAATGAGAAATTTTTATTTATATTTGTTTGCAACAACTTTGATGTGTTATACAAGAAAACTAACCTCAACTCTTAATCGTCAATATCAGCTGTATTCCAGTTTGTTTGTTTTTTGTTTCGAAAAAGACATAAATAAATTATTACATCGAACCGGATTTTATTCAATAGAGTTTTCTTTTCAAATGGTTTTAAAAAAAATAATCGAAGTTTTTGTCAACAAAAGAACAAAATAAGAGAAAGAACTCACTTTTTTGCATGGGCATTATGTTTTTCTTTTCAACAAAAACTCCATCTGTATCGAATTGATTCTGTGTGAATATGTGTGCATTAAAATCCCGCCAAAATGCTCAACGAAACACCGACACAGCAACAATAAACACACATAGACAATTTGCTTGCTTAAAGTCCAGTTAATAGAATGCGAATAACAAAGATATACAAAGTCTGTCTTTAATAAACACAAAGAGAGTTCGTTTACACATGTGAATCCACATAGACATGTGTATGTTTGTTTGACAGTGCGATAACTGCCGCAATGTTCGCACGAAGCGTATATGGTGTGACTTTGTGTCAACTACGTCGTAGATGTTTCGCTATTCCATTTCAATATCAGTTGTGTTTGTGCATTTCACTAGAGTTGTACCGCTACTGTGTGTGTCATTTTTTCCATTCAACATATTTTTATTGCTTGAAAAGCATTTTTCAATTTTCCACTGAAAGTCAACCGTACTAAAATCGTGAGGAGGAGTCTACAGAAAAAAAAATACAATTGAACAAGTGTGAAAGTTTTTGAAGACTCTGGTCATTTGAAAAACGTGCATAAGTTGCAGTCATATGAGCAGCGGATTCATCAATACCATACGAACCTTGTCACCCACAATGAAATACATTCTAGTTACCGGTGGAGTCATTAGTGGCGTTGGCAAAGGTGTAATTGCCAGTTCATTTGGCACACTTTTGAATTGCTGCGGAATCGATGTTACGTCCATAAAAATTGATCCATACATCAACATCGATGCCGGAACATTTTCACCATATGAACACGGTACGTAAATTTCAATATAATTTCTTTCCTTTTTTCACTCTAAATGCGTGTGTCACTTTGTGAGAAAGCTCTTCCGTGATATTCATGGTCATTGTCAATACCATCGAAACGGATTAATGTGAGAAAAAAAAGTTATTTGCCAAATTTACACGTTATCCTTTTAAAATCTGATCATAAATGGACAATCATTAGATTTCTCAATGTGTTTGACATATTTTCAAGGACAATTTGCCTTAAAGAACAGACAAAAAGAAGTTGGGAAAAAATTCGAGAGAAATTTTGTATCGCAATTTTTGCTTAGTGTATTTTAACCTCGCAAAGAAATTTGCTGTATAAAAAACATACATATCTATATATATTTAGTGCGCATGATTGTTCAATCGAAAACCACGTGTTTCAGTATATTGCTAGTGCTATCGTATCGTCACTCGCTGTTGTATACACAGCGCGTATTCATTAAATTGTGGTTATACATGCGTTTGTTTCTAAGCAAAGCAAAAAAAAAAAAACATTCACAACAAATCGGCGTTTGGGTCGATTGTTTGTTTCATATGTGCAAGCAAACAAATAACAGTGTTTATTCTCGACTCGAGTGAAATCTGTCAGCCAAATGTTTTGCTATAAATATAAACGGTTTGGCAGAGACATTGTTTTGATTAATTGAATTGTTTATTTCATTTTGTATCGTTCACAGGTGAGGTGTATGTATTAGACGATGGCGGTGAAGTTGACTTGGATCTTGGTAATTACGAACGTTTCCTGGACATTTCGTTGTGTAGAGATAACAACATCACCACCGGAAAAATCTACAAACAAGTCATTGAGAAGGAACGACGTGGTGATTATCTTGGAAAAACCGTTCAAGTTGTACCACACATAACGGACGCGATTCAAGAATGGGTGGAAAAAGTGGCACAACGACCAGTGAAAGGCGATAAAAAACCACAAGTGTGCATTGTTGAGCTAGGCGGAACAATTGGTGATATTGAGGGCATGCCATTCGTTGAGGCCTTTAGGTAACTAATGAATGTTGACACTTTTGAAGAAAAAAAAAGGATTTCATTGCATCGAAAACTTTAGTTTAATAGTAAATTTCGTGGACTTTGAGCAACAAATACAATTTTAAACCAAAATCTAATCATTTTTTCGATTTCAATTTTCACAGACAATTTCAATTCCGTGTGAAACGTGAAAATTTCTGTGTAGCGCACGTATCGTTGGTGCCGATGCCACGGGCCACCGGTGAACCAAAAACAAAACCAACACAATCAAGTGTACGTGAATTGCGTGGCTTGGGGCTGAGTCCAGATTTGATTGTGTGTCGTTCCGAGCGACCAATTGGCATTGAAGTAAAAGATAAAATTAGTAATTTTTGTCATGTTGCACCCGAACAAGTGATTTGCATTCCGGATTTATCATCAATTTATCATGTGCCATTGCAAATGGAATCGAATGGTGTGTTAAACTTTCTAAAAGAACGTCTACAATTGGACTTTGTCGATCCAAAGCAAACAATGCAAAGTTGGCGAGAGTTGGCCTATCGTGTTGATAACACCCGGGTAATTGATTTCTTACCAAAACAAATAAACAGCTGTAATGCTTTTACTGTACAAAATCGAATGTTAATATTTTTTACACTGATTTAGGGAGAGGTAAAAATTTCGTTAGTCGGAAAATATACGAAATTAGAAGATTCATATGCTTCGGTGTCAAAATCACTTCAGCATGCAGCGCTTGCGGCCGGATTTAAATTGAGTTTAAAATTCATTGAGGCATGCCATTTGGAACGCGATTTTAAAAAGGAAAATCAACTGTTGTACTATCAGGCATGGCAAGAGCTATGCGATAGTAACGGTGTCGTTGTACCAGGTGGTTTTGGTTCGCGTGGCATGGAAGGAAAAATTCGCGCCTGTCAATGGTGTCGTGAGAATAAAAAACCATTTTTGGGCATTTGCTTGGGAATGCAAGCAGCTGTCATTGAATTCGCCCGAAACATTATTGGTTTTGAAGGAGCAAATACAACGGAAATCGATCCAAATGTAGCACATCCATTAGTTATCGATATGCCAGAGCATCATCCAGGCATCATGGGTGGAACTATGCGACTTGGTAAACGTACAACCGTATTTAAAGACAATTGCACTAGCACAATAAGTAAGTATTTAGCAAATTATATTGTTCACCATCAATATTTCATATGAAATTTCTTTTTTAATGCGCAGAGAAATTGTATGGATCTCCAAAATCAGTGGATGAACGTCATCGTCATCGATACGAAATTAATCCAAAATATGTGCCACAACTCGAAGAAGCTGGCCTCAAATTTGTCGGCACCGATGAAGAGGCGACACGCATGGAAATTGTCGAGTTAAAAGATCATCCGTATTACGTTGGTGTTCAGTATCATCCTGAATATTTATCGCGGCCATTAAAACCATCGCCACCATTTATGGGCTTGATTTTGGCTTCCGTAGGCAAATTGAAGGGATATTTGAACAAAGGCTGTCGATTATCACCAAAAGAAATGAGTGATAACAGTTCAGGTACATTATACAGCACACTATTTACGCTAAATTCAACAAAAAAAGTTTCAAATGTCATGCGTTGAATGCACATTGCACATTTTCAATTTCAAAACTTATTAATTCTACATTTTTAGATGAAGAAGTTGTGGCCATATCAAAACCAAACAAACAATTGACAAATGGCACCCATAAGCACTGCTCAAACGGAGCCACCAGCTCAAGCAACGACGAGTACGAAAAATGATACGAAAGGTCCAAATGGAAACACGGAATCGGCTTCCATTCAATATTTTATTAAGTTAAAAAGACTCGAACCATTATTAGGACGACAAAAATTCAATAACATCAATACTAACATCAGACTCAATATAGGATTCTAATGAAATGAGAAAATGCTTCACGGATAGTGAATAGATCAAAATCAAATTATTTTGTATGTTGAAATGAAAGATATTTTCATAAGTTTAAAAAAAAGTATATCATGGGGAAAAAAACTATGAGACTATCATAATTTGGAATTATATTTAAATAAAGTATCTTTGTATCGATATAAATATTTCATTTGTTTGGGAGAGTTGTATTTTACGCTGGCTTCGGCAACATTGGCCGAAAATGTTCGTAGTATGATTTCGTGAAGTCAATCATCAGATCTTGCATTGCTGGTGGAACAAAGTTTGGATTGCCCTGATCACCTTCAATCGTTCCTTGGGCAGTGAATTTCATGAAACTAGCCACAGTTGTTTCCGGAGGTACGACCGCTCCATCTTCAATTATACAACAGTCTCGGATTGTACAGCGTCGGCCCTGAAAAGTATGGAATTTCAATGTTTAGAATTAATTCACAGAATCATGGTAATATTCAAATGTGATATTTGATGAGAAAAATGTTCAATTTAAACCAAGAAATACTCACAATAATAGCATTCTTCCCAATATAAACGTATGAACCGATTGAGGCAGCTGAAACAACAGCACCTTCACCAATGTATACATGTTCACCGATCACCAAAGGGAAAAAAGCAATGCTGAAATTGAGAGAAAATACATAATAGTTAGTAATGTCTCAAAAGAAAAACATTCATTCGTGTCTATCCTTTATCTCCTGCAAAAGCAAAAGTCAACCATATTCAAAATAGTTTGTGGATTCCATTCAGAGAAACTGAGTTTTCTTAAATGGAAATTAATACAATCCAATCGAATTGAAAAGCATCTAGAACTCACCCAGTCGAGAATTGCTTGTAGGCTGGCCGAATCACCGCCTTCTGGCTGATCACGCAATAGCGGCCGGTTCGTACATTTGACAAATCACCACGAATGATGGCACCAGTTTGAACAATCACTTTGCCATTCAAAACGATATTTTGTGAACCACATAGAACCGTCTTTCGGCTTACTTTGTTCCCAGATGCCTGAAAATATACAAGAGCCCACAGCAAAATGATGTCAGTGTTGAATGAGTCAGAATACTCAATTGCGCATTTTCAGACAATATTCAATTTAATTGAATACATACCGTTTCAATGTATTCTTCCTTATCGTAAGTCATAGGCACAATTTCCATTTTCAAAGTTTAAAAATGCAATGCAAAGAAAAATTGAAGTGAAAATTCATGTAAACACGAATCATTTACATTAAGGCTGTGTTGACAATCGAACGATGACAGCTGAATTTGACTCCACTGTCAACACGGCTTTACTCTGCGTACGAAATTACGATGGAACGAATGGAATGTGATGAATCGTAATTTCGTAAAGTGATTTTGTGCGCGCCAAAGGTACCAACATTACCTAAATATGACAGATTCGATCTTTTGTATACAGAAATCGCACAAAACCAACGGTTCCGTTTTGCGATCTAATTCGTATTTGTTTTTTTTTTATATTTTTTATTTGACCTTTTGTATTTACATCTATTTTTGTGATGTATATTCAACATTTTTAGTTTTTATAACAAGATTTAACGTAAAAATTATCCAACACACGTATGAATTAATTATTTTACAAAACAAAGAATCGATATCGTGAAGAAGGCAACGATAAACGGAACACACAGGTAGTCCCATTTAATCTTTCTTTTTTTGTTTTATTTTAATTCATTAAAAATGCAGGCAACTGGTCAAGTTGAATAGATTTCATTCGATATTTTGTTGATATGAGAACCCTTTTTAGATAAAATCTGCGTGTTATTGAGCATTCTCAGTTTATGACGCAGTAGCGGTATTTCATACCAAGGCGTCTGTGTGCTGGATTTTTCATACTCCATTGTCGTCGGACATTTGAATATATAGACAATTTAAACAAGATTTTTTTTATCAAAGCTTGATATTGAATTTACATTTTTTAGATTGGTTTTGGTTTTATCTACTAAACAAAACAAAACATAACCTCAACGAAGCTTAAAGGCAACAGTGCAGTAGAAAATGGCTCCAGAGGATGATTTATTTGAGGATTTGCCACAAACACAAAGTCAACCACTCCCGGATGACGAAGTGTTTTCGCAAGATGCCGACGACGGAAAAGATGTTTGGGGTCGTTTAGTGGCAAAACACAAATCATTCCACAACGTTGGTACGTATTCATTGATTTTATAGAACTTTATTGAATATTTGTATAATATACTGAATTGTTCGCAATTTTTTTTAATTTCATTCCTGAAATATCATTTTATTATATTTGAAAAATTCATGAAATTTTTCTCAATTTTTGCAACTTTGATTATAATTGTTTATGTTTCGTTTCTCGTTTTAGATTTGACCAACGACACATTTGTAGCGGGCCGAGCTTCAAACTGCAATTACAGCTTGCAAGCACCAGAAATCAAACAGAAGCTACTCATACAAATGTCCAAGCAACATTTTAAAATATCCCGAGATTTGGCAGAGATGGACAGTCCTGTATACATTGAGGTTGGTTATACCTACAATCTTATAAGATAATATATGAATTCAAATTAATTTGAATCTGATATGTTATAGGATTTGTCACGAAATGGCACCTTCGTAAATGAAGAAAAAATCGGTTTGAAAAAGAAGAGAATCTTGGCACATGGTGACACCATTTCAATTGCGTATCCAAAAATGCAAGCGTTCCTATTTCGTGATCATCGACGAAAAACTGATGTGGCCACGGCCATTGCCAAAAAATATTATGTCAGTAAAAAACTTGGGAACGGTGCAAATGGTACGGTATTTTTGGTATATGAATATCGTACGTGCCAAAAGTATGCGCTAAAGCACATAAAAAAGAACAAGCTGATTGATTATAGAGCCGATAAGTCGCTGAACGAGGCCAAGATCATGCAGAGCCTGAGACATCCGTGCATTGTTCAAATGCACGACATCGTTGATTCTTCAGATTCTGTGTTCATAACGCTTGAGCTAATGGAAGGTGGCGAATTGCTGACGCGCATTCAGAATAAACGATATCTGAAAGAAGCCAATGCCAAATTATTTTTCTATCAAATGTGCTACGCCATTAAGTATTTACACGAACGAAAGATTACACATCGGGATCTTAAGCCGGACAATATTCTCTTAGCGTCGAGTGAAGAGAATACATTGTTGAAGATCTCTGACTTTGGTCTGAGTAAATTGGTGAAGAACAACTCAGAATTGCGAACCCTATGCGGAACACCGATGTAAGTCAATCAAATGCCACATTTGCTTTGTTCTATGCTAATCAATTTGGCACTCATTTAGGTATGTAGCTCCAGAAATATTGGAAACAAAAGGTGAAGGTACATATACCGAAAAAGTGGATATTTGGAGTTTGGGTGTGGTATTATTCACAATGCTCAGTGGATCATTGCCATTTGCCGACGATTACGGTAGCCCAGCAGCCGAACAAATTAAACAGGCCAAATTCACATTCAGATCACAACGTTGGAATGGAGTTTCGAACACGGCCAAAAATCTCATCCGTGAAATGCTCACAACAAATGTAAATAAACGCCCGTCCATCGATCAGTTGTTGTTGACCAAGTGGTTTAGAGACGGTGATATGATCGGAATTGCACACAAACTGATGAACATACCAATGCCGCATCACTATACATCGTCAGCAACACGATTGGCCATTCAAGTGCCAAAGGATATAGCCAATTCGGAGCCGTCAGTTTTCTTGCGTCCATATGCTGTAGACATAGACAGCGAAAATATTCAACCATCGAAAAAACGTCGCCTACGTTAAGCAGTATTAAGTTGTTAGTTCAGTATTTTCAAAAGTAGAATATGTCATCAACAATTTTTTTTTATTGGTATCGTTCAAGTTGTGATGTTAAATATAAGTACAAACTATTGTAGAAAGAAAAAACCGTTTGGAAAACCAAACAAAAAGTACAAAAATCTAAAAAAAACCTTAGCAACGAAGTGCCTCAATGTTGCCAAAAAATTAAACAGATAAGTTTACGAAAAAATTCCACATTGATATTGTACAAATATCGCGAAAAATAGTAGTTTAGGGACAATTCGTGATATATCATACAAAATATATTAAAATAAGGAGCTATACCATTGGCATCAATTAAATCGATTGCGAAAAATGTTATCTTGGGTGAAATTCCACCAAAATCGTTCTTTTTTCGTATAAATATGAGTGTTGAAAAATAAGTGATGCAATAACACTCTGCTCTATGTTGAGTGTCATAAAATATCAAAAAGCATGCAAAACTGATATGATTTAATTGAAAAATTAAAATAAGTACACAAATACCGGTATAAAAATCAAATTGCTCAAAATAGCAACCTGAATAAATGTTACAATTTTCTGCATCAGATATGTCACAAGAATAGAGTTAATTTACGCATCAAGTATTGTATGGGTAATAAGAATATTTTCAATAGACCAAGACCAATTGTATTAAAAAAATAAACTCAGTAAATCATTTGCACAAATTACTCAACAATTTTAGATTTTTATTTGACATCGTCTAAATCATCATCAAGAAACGCATATTTCACCCGATTGTATTGAATTCTTTATTGATTTTTCGTCGTCGTTTTTTCAATTAGTATCAATTTACCAATATGAACCATACATGAATACAGGGGTTGTAAGCCCGGATAAGCCGCCTTAAATCTTTCGAGCTACCACGAGCTTGTTTTATGTTATATATTTCGTGACGAATTCAATTTAAAAATAATGTCCAACGGTCCTTTATTCAATTGCAACTCTCACCGAAGTGAATGTAAACAAACAAAATCAACTCAATGCTTTCTTATCATGAACAGTTCATTGTTCACTGTTCAATCCGCTCTGTGGTATAAGAAATATTAATTGCTTTAATGTAAATATCACAGTATATTGCTTAAGTAATTAAATTATTTGCATCGTTGCAAAATAAAAGTTGACGATATGTTTATAAATTGATATTTTGCGTTCAATGAGGCAATAATATTCGTCGTTTATATTGTACCGCTGCCAGTACTGGTCAATTGTTATAAATAAGTTTGTGGAATAACTCATAAACAAAGAATATTTTCATTTTAAATTCGATTTTGCTGTGTTTTGTTTTCGACAAAAAATGCTTGTGGATAAATTCTTAATCAATTCTCAGAAAAATAAATTTCGATAAAGTATCGTTCCTTCAACTTCTTTTTTGTTTGTTTTGTTCAATCTACCTTTTCTCTCACTGCAATATTTGACTTCATTCTGCGCATTTGGTTCTTGGGCATCGAACTACATCTCACAAAGAATATTTCAATCAACGTTTTCTGAATCGGACAACAATGGATTGGTTTCGTGGCTATATTTGTACAAACAATAATTGTAAGCGTCCATTTTACACTGCGGATAATAGGAGAGAACAGTTGCCATGTGCAAGATGTGGTTGCGTTTCTAAATACGTATATCCGGTAAATTTTGAAAAAAAAAATGTTATTATTTGAAAATTGAATTGATTGCGTTTTTTCTAAAATCATTTTTCAAAGAATTTATTTTTCAAATGAGCTCATTGTAAATATCTTATTTTCATTTCAATTTTATCTCAGACTCAACGCACATTGAACGATATTATCTCAATTCGTTCTGACCCAAGCTCCAGATATACATAGACCGTAGAAAGTTTGATTCCAAAACCAATATTGGACAGTCATATATATTGAACAACTAGAAATCATACCCGTTAACAGTGGAAACAATTCATTGAAATGCAAAAATGTAAAATTGGTTCTCATCATTGTTTTGCTCAATGTTCAATAAATCATAAAATAAAAAATAACAAGTATTTTTAGTTCAAAAAAGAATAATACTTTCTTCTAAACTATTCGGTATAAAATGCATTCAAACAGATTAAAATTATAGTTTATAAATCATATATGGCTCAAAATATTAATTGCTTCAATGTAAATATCAAAGTTATTTTATCCAAACTTGGATTAACAAACAAAGAAGTATAACGCTTAAATAATGAAATCATTTGCATCATTGCAAAATAATCGTTGACAAAATGATATTTTTTATTTATTGAGACACAATATAAGTATCGTTTATATTGTACAGCTGCCATTACTGGTCAATTGTTATAAATAAGTTTATGGAATAAGTCATAAACAAAGAATATTTTCATTTTAAATTCGATTTTGCTGTGTCTTTATTTTGACTAACAATGCTTGTGTATAAAATCGTAATCAATTCTCAGAAAAATAAATTTCGATAATGTATCGTCCCTTCAACTTCTCTTTTGTTTTATTTTTATTTTCAACTTTTCCTATCGCTATAGCCTATTGTATTTATAGCGATATTTGACTTTATTCTGCGCATTTGATTCTTGGACATCGTTCGAACCACATCTCGCAAAGAATATTTCAATTAACATTTTCTAAAACGTACAACAATGTGTTGGCTTAGTGGTTATATTTGTACGAACAATGATTGTAAGCTTCCATTTTATTCCGTAACCGATAAGAAAGAACAAGTGCCTAAATCGTGCCTAACATGTGGTTCCATTGCTCGATGCGTATATCAGGTAAATTTTGGAAAAAAATGTTCGTTTTTTAAATTGAATAGATTGCTTTTTTTCTAAAATCAATGATTTTTTTTTTTCATTCAAATAAGCTCATTTCAATATTATTTCAGATTGAACCTACATTAGAAGTCATTGAGAAAATCGCATTTAACCCCAACTCCATATATAGACTGTAGAAAGTTTGATTCCAAAATTATGATGGACAGCCATATATATTGAACAACTAGACATCATATCCGTCAGCAGTGGTGTCATTAAAACGTAAAAATGTAAAAGTAATTAGAGAAAAATGTTCAATAAAACATAAAATAAAAACAAGTGTTTTCGGTTCAAATGTTTTATTGTAAACTATTTTTGCTGAACTTTTGTCAGCCCATTGGAAATAATTCAATAGTGAGTATTCGGCATATAAATAAAAAATTTCTTTATATAATTTATGTAGTACGAGTAGTATCTCATTGATTGATCTATAGCTCTAAAGCAAATAATTCGTTTTACTGATGGAAGATAATAATAGAAATCAATTCTTGCTATTGTTTGATGTGATGTTTACAATTCGATTTCTGGAAATAAGTTGTACAATAGCCAGATTTATGAGAAAATATTTATTAAATGAAATTATCGCCAACAGTTTCTCGAATTTCTTTATAATTCACTCTTCTATTCAGCTACTGAATTATGTGAACTGAATATCAAGCATAAAAAACTTAATTTTTTTTTTTTTTAAAGCGATCGATGGTAGAAGCTATTAAGTTACGATAGAGAAATTTAGTGAAAAGTTTTTCCTTGATTCATTTTGCTTTTGCCGATTTTATTCCCAAACAAAATCTTTCAATTTCATATCACAAAGTCAATAGAAATCTCCGCTGCCCTCTATCTTTTATCAACAGGACAAAATTGAATATTTCGGTATTGTTTTTTTAATGTTATGGTTAACTATACACTTTTCTGCTTTCTATTCACCAGTGATAAAGTTTAAACAAGATAAGATAAGATTGTTTAAGTTATAGATTTCGGCATTATTCCATTTCAGCATAGAAAAATTATCAACTATTTGCGATCTTTCCACATTATTTATCAAAATTTCAGTTATATAATACATTTCTTATCAAAATTTTAATATATTATTAGATAGGTTTGTGTTGTTTTATGAAAAGGATTTTCAACCATTCTCACGTAAAATTCATAAGAAGGCAGTTACTTTTGAAAGGATCCTGAAATCACAATGTTGAATATTGTCGTAATTGGTGCTGGACCATCAGGATTATGCAGTGCAAAATACTCACTGGCGCATGGATATAAAGTTACTATTTACGAGCAAGCTGGACAACTGGGTGGCGTATGGAATTACACAGAGGAAGTGGGAAGGAATCAATACGGCATCAATATCCATTCAGCGATGCACCGAGAGCTAAGGTATCATATATGATTTATCTCAGAAATGTTGAATTTTAAAATGTCCATATTTTTAGAACAAATTTGCCGCATCAGTTGATGGCGTACATCGATCATCCATTTCCGGAGGGTACGCGATCATTTCCATCACATATCGAAGTTCAAAAATACTACCAATCTTATGCAGAACGTTTTGATTTTATGAAACTAATAAAATTTAATCATTCGGTGATTCGCGTTCTTCCAATTGAAAACAACAAATGGGAAGTGATTGTCAAGGACTTTGTCAATGATAAATTCGAAACGATAATGTGTGATGCGGTTTTTGTATGCAATGGACCTCATGCAAAATCTCATATCCCAGAGATTCCAGGCGCATCTGAATTCAAAGGAAGAATTATGCACAGCCGAGATTTCCGGACACCTGAAAAATTTCATGGTAAGTGCTGTGAATTTCACAAAAAGTGAACAGTATTAAATTTTCTGTAAATTTTTCCACAAAAAAAAAATCACACAGACGAAAATGTTCTTGTCATTGGGAGTGGTGATAGTGCACTTGATATAATACAACTGTTACGGAAAACTGCATCTCGAATCACAGTTGTTTGCCGTGAAACACAAAGTGCCCAATGGCAGAAAATGCTTCAGAATTTATTGTCCGAGAATGTTGCAGTCCAAGGAGAAGTAAAACGTCTAACTCAAACTGGTGCCGAATTTTCGGATGGATCTCATCAAACATTCTCTGTGGTGATATTGGCAACAGGTTCATAGAAAACAAATTGTAAAGTAGAATATAATTTAATATTTCGTACACATTTTTCAGGTTATGTTTATGCATATCCATTTTTAAGCACTGAATGCGGAATTTCTATTGACGATAATTTCATCCAGCCATTATACAAACATATACTAAATATTCAGTATCCAAATATGGCATTTATTGGTGTTACGGGTATTACTGGTATTTTTTTTGATTTACAAGTAAGTTTGTATCTTAAAACATGAAAATCAAATCCTTAAGTCTTCATTTATATACCAGGTACAATTTGCTCTGAAATTCATATCAGGCGCCAAGCGATTGCCATCGAAATCGGAAATGCTTTTGGATATGCGTGCCAAAACATTTATCCATTGGAATAGGGGTTTCAGTAAAAATAAAACTCATTATTTATATTTAAATGAAATTTCTATGAACGAACACCACAATCAATTATCAGAGATTGTAGGCCTTGAGAAAGAAAAAGCACCAACTGTGCTGCGTTCCATTGTTTTAGATGTCTATGAAACACGTTCAAAGGATATCGATTATCGAAAATACAAATACGTTATAATTGATAACAATACATTTGAAAAATCGGAAGAATTATAAATACTACACTGAGTGGCGATGAAAATCATTCAAGCAACTAATTTCATGTTTAATTAAAAGAAACAGTCAATATTGCTCAAAGTACTAATTCAATAGATATAAAAATATTAACATTTTTGCCCATTTTTACAGTAGAAAACTTGAAGGTATTTTTGTGGAAATCCGATTAAAAAAAGAAACTGCAAGCCGTTTTTTTTTGTTTTTATATGATGATAAAAGACGAGAAATAAATTCAAATTTAAAAATGAGACATATTTCATATTTTTTGGACTTCTTACGGCAATCAATGAAACTAATTGACTGCCATACTAATTTGCATTTTTCAACAGTTAATGATCATCAAACGATTTTTTTTTATTTGAAGAAAAAATCCTTTTTTAAGATTTATCAAAACAAGTGCTACATTTTTTAAATAAAACACTCAATTTTTAAAAGAAATATCGAAATCGATAAGAGCACGCACAGAATCCACTTATTCACAAAATTTAAAATCATTTCCTTCAGTTTCCATCGCCAATACATTTTGATAAAAAAAGATCTAACAAAAAATATTCACAAAAATTAAACAAATCTTATCATCATCAAAATTTTCATTAAAAATATAAATTTTCCCCCAAAATGCATAAAATTCTTCATAACATTTCAATATCAGTAAAAAAAATGCAATTCAAAAAGTCGCCAATTCAGTGTGACATGCAGCAACTTCATGGTTGTTATCAAAACATCTGATACGGTGGTTCAAAAGTTAGTCACCAGAGCGCCGAATACATGCCTAATCATCGTACATTACATACACACAAAGAGAAATCATAACAAATGAATATAGTGTTCAGTATCGTTCGCACTGTCAAAATATTACAAAGCAATTTTTCCGTCATATTTGTTGTAATTATTTCTGTCTGTTTCGACGAATAAAAATACCAACAAACGGATTAAAATTGTGACCAGAGTAAACATATTGAATTAAAGATAAATAACAATGAAATAGTAGGAGTTTTTTTTTAAATTGTAAACGTGTGAGATAAACGCGTTGAAAAGGTCAGATTGGCATCAGCGAGAGAAAAAGACAGACAAGCTAAGGAAAAAGAAGATCTCTTGTGAGTCGACATAACATAATCGAAAAGTCATTTTAATTTCGTTGGTGCTACAAATCAAATCAAACGCAGAAAAAAATTGTAAAAACACACAGAATGAGCGAGCTAACGCCAGAAGAGGTGATTGTTTTATATTGTCAATTTTTATAAAATCTTTGTAAATTATCTCATTGTAATACATTGGTGATATGCGTGAATGGTTTTATTAAGGCATACACATTTGTATTTGTAATTTCGTAATTTTCGAGTTTTGAACATAGAGGCGAACAAGCTTGCATGTTGCTTTAGTTCGAGCGAGTGCCAATGACAACAGCGAGCAGATCGGGAATATGTACACTTTGAAACGCAAAAGTTCGAACAAAGACACGCTTCATAGCATATTTTTCAGATATTTTTTTTTTTTTTTTGAAAATTTGGCAAGCGATCAAAATGCCACAACGCAATCATACGAAATAGCTGTTGATTTTTTTTTTTTTGTTATTTTTCATCAAACTGACAATCATTTTTCTCTTGTTTTTGCGTATTATCTCTCATTTTGTATAAAGAAAATAAGCACGCTATTTAATGAGTGCCATTGTCCGAGACGCCATTAGGTATCACTAATTGATTCCAAGAACTTCATTTTAAGAAAATTTAACTCTTTAAATTCCATTTAATCATCGTTTTCGATTTGGTTTTTCTTATCTACGGTATAGATGCGAGCGCGTCGCTTGCGTCGTCTCGGTTTGATCGGTGGAGATATATTGACAACAGCCACATCATCAACCGATAATCCAATTGCAAATACATCAGAGCTAAGCGAAAATGTTGCCAAACCAATGAATACTGCCGCAAAAAATCTACTAAATGCAGAGACTGAAGAGCACGATGAAAATGAACACAAACAAAAATTACAAAAATTTGACAACGAAGGTAAAATGGAAATTGTACTGAATAACAATGAGCTACCAGCGACACGACCACCACATTTACCCACATTGCAAATGGTTATGGAGTCCAAGTCAATGTCAAATCACTTAACACAACGATCTCGTTTGTTGGATCAATTTGAGAAGCAACGCATTGAAAATAAACTAAATCAGAATTCAACGTCATCTTCCGCTGAAATCGTCATACGAAATGATGTGGAAATGAAAACGTCCGATGATAATACTGAAAAAGCCAAATCAAGCGATGGTGAATCTTGTATTGAAAATATGGAAACGGATGAATTACCATCAGCAATCGAATCATCATTGGTGGCCAAAACTAATCTCGTCGATCGAGTATTGTCACTAGAGGAAAAAGAGCGTGAAGCGGAAATTTGTTTGTCGCGTATTTTGGATGCATTTTGGTATGATAATTGCGAAGGATCAATTATCGTTTCCGAAACGGCCGAATTCTACAAGGATGTGGTGCTCGATGAGGGCAACAAAATTCAATTTGATGACTTGACATTTCAAATCATAACCGAAGTTGTTGTTCAGTATTTTGATGGTAAACGCATTGATTACAAGGTTAGCGCAAGCGATTCGATGAATAAAGGTTCGTCATCGTCATGGAGTGTGACAATGTCGAACGCATCAGAACGAATGGATACAAGTGAATCTGGTTGTTCCACAACGCCCAACTTGAAGCCACACAATTTAGCCGACCATGGTGCATTGACTTATTTAATTCAGTCATATTTACGTTGTTGCGTTGAACAAGAACGATACAATAGCACAAGAAATGTTCAAAAATTCAACTCAGTTGTATTGGATGTTATTGCTGAAGTGAAAAAACAACTAATTATCAGCTCAAAATTGCTTTTGAATGGCACTATGGTCAAACAATTGAGATTAAGTACACATGCACAAACACATCGATCAATTCTACTGAAAATGATGTACGACGATGCAGTACCGTCTGACTTTTTAAATTTATTGATCGAAGAATCGTATAAAGAGCCACAAATTTTTGACAAAATTTTCGGCACTTTACTACAAAATCTCTACGTCGATATGCAAAGTCGTGTGGTTAGCAAGGTTATTTGTACATCACCAATTAACATATTGAAACAATTGCTTGACATCACGATCAATGGAAACATTCGACCAATATGCAATTTTGTCACGAGCTTACCAAATTTCTGTCCAGTTTTGTGCACACAAACACAGGGCCGTGAAATTGTGAAGGCCGGCTTTATGGGACCATTCTTATCGTTGTCAATATTCACCGAAGATAATCCAAAACTTGGAGAGGATGTCGACGAAAATTGGGAAGAAACATGTGGCAACAGCCTAAGAATGGTAATTCAAATGAAAATTCAATGATTTCTCAAGAGATTTTTTTATGCGCTAATTTCGTTTGGTTTTTCTATCATTATAGCATTTGGACCAAATGCGTGGCCAATTGCATGCAATATTCCACAATTTAGTACGTAGCCCAGACAATCGTACACAGGTGATGAAATATCTTTCTCAAGTTCTGTTGAGCAACGAAAAACGTACACAATTCCATTCGGAAGAAAAGAAACTTGGACGTGATGGATTCATGTTAAATGTAATGGCAGTACTTCAAAAGCTATCAATCAAAATAAAATTGGATCGCGTCGATCCAAAGTATCCGTTCAATGCCAAATCACTGGTAACAATTGAAAAGGATACAAAAATTCGCTTTGATGACTCCGAATATAAGAATTGGATCTCATCAGCAAGTAAGTTTATCTGTGAATTCTGTGCGTTTGATGTTTTCTAATTTCTTGCTTCTCTTAATTGCATAGTTAATACTCGAAGCACTGATCCAAATCCACCGAATTTTTCGACTGAATGCTGGTTCTTGACATTGCATACCCATCATTTGGCCATCATGCCAGCAATCCAACGCTATAATAAGCGATTGCGTGCAATCAAAGAAATTCGCCGCATGATTGAAGAATTAAACAACACAAAGTCTCAATGGGAAAATTCAATGCATCGTATGCGAAACAATCAGCTCATCGAACGGTTTTCACATCAATTGAAAAAACTAAATAAGTAAGTACAATAGAAATGTGTCTATCGTTCTCAATTAGACAGTTATTAACTCCAAATTGACTATTGTTTCAGAGCAAAAAAAAGCTGCGACGTCGGCTTATTGGATCCGATTATCATCGAATCCTGTTTGAGATTCTACAGTTCGGTGTGCGAATTCGTTTTGTATCAAATGGAGGGGCGTGATGTAAATGGACTGTTTATGACATCAATCTCACCGCAACAGCTTAAACCAGTGGCAGTATTATCGGCATTGCCTGAATGGTATGTTGAAGGGGCAATTCACTCAAAAATTGCCTTTCTATTATAAATTAGTTCTTATTGATTCTTTTTCGATTATTTTAAATTAATTGTATTCTTTTCTTTTGTGATTCTCCCCTTAGGTATGTCGAAGATATTGCCGACTTCATTCTCTTCAACATGCAGTTAGTATAGATTTTAAAATTTATCCAAAATATTGCTTGCAGTAAACATACTTAATCGGTTTATTTTATTTGTCAGATTTCGACAGGAAAAAATGGTGACACTTTTTGATGATTCAATCATCACATGGCTATTAACATGCGTATGTGCACCACAGTGTATTCGTAATCCATACGTTACGGCAAAATTGGTTGAAGTGCTATTTGTCATATCGCCAAGTGTTCAACCCAACTCAGGTCTACAGATCTCGGTACGTTTCAAACACATTTCTCACTCTCAAAGTGTTTTCATGAAACTAATATCAATGCCCCCAATGTTTTTAGGTAATGAATCATCCTCTTGTTCAAACTGATCTGGTTGGTGCATTAATGAAATTTTACACAGATATTGAAACCACAGGCCAAAGCACTGAATTCTACGATAAATTCACGATACGGTTAGTTTAAAAAATTCAAAATTAGAACAAAAAAAAACAAAAAAAAAAAAAAAATTGACAATTAGAAATACAATATTCTAATGCTACAAATTCATTGAATATTTTTTTTTCAGTTATCACATAAGCCATTTATTCAAAACCATGTGGAGTAACCCAATGCAACGTCAGGTGATTGTGAATGAATCGAAAAATGGTGCACAATTTGTTAAGTTCGTGAATATGCTGATGAACGATACAACATTTTTGCTCGACGAATGCCTTGAGTATTTGAAGCGTATTCATGAAACGCAAGCACTGATGTTGGACGAAGCCGGATGGAATGCACTTGGTACGGAAAATCAACAATCACGCCAACGCCAATTGTCACAAGATGAACGACAATGCCGTTCCTATTTGACGTTGGGCAAAGAAACGGTTGATATGTTCCATTATCTTACGATCGATATCAAAGAGCCATTCTTACGTCCGGAATTGATCGATCGTTTGGCATCGATGCTAAACTTTAATATGCATCAATTATGCGGACCAAAATGCAAAGATCTTAAAGTGCGTTCACCACAAAAATTCGGTTGGGATCCACGGAAATTACTTAGCCAACTGTTTGATATCTATCTACATTTGAGCTGTGATCAATTTGCTGCAGCTATTGCCGCCGACGAACGTTCGTTCGACAAAGAATTCTTTGAAAAAGAAGTGGCCGTTCGTATTAAAGAATTACATTTACGATCGTCTATTGAAATCGAACAGTTTCTTGACTTGGTCACTCGGGCACAGGAGAAATATAGTAAGTGTTCGCACTCTTTTTTTTTGGTCGATGATATTCCTAATGTTTTTTTCATTGTCATATTTGCAGTTGCCAATCAACAAATTGAAGACGATTATGCTGATGCACCAGATGAATTCCGCGACCCATTGATGGACACATTAATGACAGATCCAGTGGTTTTACCATCGGGCAACGTTATGGATCGTTCGATTATCACACGACATTTACTAAATAGCAGCACCGATCCATTCAATCGGCAACCACTTACCGAAGATATGCTCAAGCCGAACAATGAACTACGCGAACGCATATTGGCTTGGAAGCGTGACAAACGCGAAAAAACCATTCAACTCAATCCAATCGATAAGTGTTAAGAATCACACATACACAAATTTCATGGAAATCAATTAAGCGTTTAAGAGTTTATGAAATACTTAGATTAAAAACTACGTGTACTTTTTTGTTGATATAAAAAAAATGTCAGTCCTGTACTACAAAATCGATTCTAATTCATAAGTTATTGCCAGATACGTTTGAGAGACAAGCAAAAGTAGTTATTTACATAATTATTAAGCGTGCGTATGCGCGCGATTCAATTCATTCAACGTAAAATAACTGCGGTCATCCGAAAAACACACACGTTAAACACAACATAAGTTAAGCTAGAGCAAGTTAAACTGAAATTCGATTTAAAAAAAAAATTAAACCTCATTTATTGTTGTGTGCGGCTTCGAAAAGAGTTTTAAACGACTTTTCGAATATCGATAATTGCAATCATTTACATTTATATACAAAATCTTTATTTCTATTGTACAACAACGACAACCGAGTTTAGTTTTTGTTTTCATTTGCCCACGGTGCATGAGATCAAAAACAACACATTTATTATTCCCAATTTATTTATATTGTAAAAAACAGAAAAAAGGGAGACACCAATCGAAAAAGAAATTCAAAATGTTTTCTTGAATGTGGCTGAATAAACATAGTTAATAAACACGAATGAATTCAGTTTTTATTTCATATAGAACTAGATGCGATCGCTTCGGTTGTGAGGATAGATTGAAGGTGATTATTTTTTCAGATGTGGATGAAAAGTGACTAATAATGATTTGTTTGAGAAGCTACAGATGGTTGGTATTTGAAAAACAAAACGGACTTGGGAACAAACGAGTGGATTTATGGCAATGACCTAATGCCGATGCATGTTTTGAATTTGCCTGGCGCTTATTTTCCAAAGCACAACAAAATGTGTGTAAACAAAGACACAATTTTATCTGTAGGTAATAATGTCGTCGCATGTGATTTATTAAACAGAGGCATGTTCACATAAAGCTATTATTGATATGACCATGGCATACGTTTGACGGTAAACACAATCACAGAGAAGAAAAAATGGGATTAACGGTGGTTTCTGTTTGATTTCGGAATGTAAATTGTTTTAACGATATTCTAATATAAACGTGTGTTTTTGATGGCAAAATGGAGCTATTTGCAACTTTTGGTGCCAATGTCGATTGCGAAAAAAAATTGAAATTAAACGAAATTCGATACATTTTCGGCTGTTGTATAAAAGTCGAGATGTAGTTTCACAATCAGTCATACACTCGATACTTCAACTATAGAAAATAGTGTCTCAGGTAAACCACATTTTTTTCATTTTAACAAATCTTATCTTATCTATATGGTAACAATCGATCAATAACTTCAATAATTTATTTGATTTTGCTTCAGCACTTGCAAATCGTTATCAGTTTGACAGTACTTTGGATTTTAATTACAAAATAGAACAAGAAAGAATTTTTTACGCCCGACAAATTACGAAAAACACTAAATTCATCGATATACTACGAAATCAGTACGAATTTCAATATTAAAGTGAATAGATTTTAAAAAATTCTTTTGTTACAAACATTTTGGGAAAAATTGCAAAAAATGAATCGAATCCATTTGGCGAAAATTCTGTTGGTGGTTTCAATTGCGACCGTCATTATATCGATGATTGATGCAGCTGCTGTCGGAGAACCTCAGCGATTTAAGATGTTCAAAAATAACCAACGATCATCAATGGAAAAAGATCAGCCACATAATGCAAAGAGATGCCCTTGCGAACGTACATATTGGCCCGTTTGCGGCTCTGATGGAGAAACATACGCCAATCAATGTTTGCTTAGGTGTAAAGGTGTTAAAAAGGCAAAAAATGGTGATTGTGACACCAAAGAAGAAGAAGAATGGGGAGTTTATGAAACAGAAGCGTTTCTACCTTAGTTGGCTGCGCGCATTTGACTCTCTTATTCGATCTATGCTGTTTCATAATTTATAGTATTTATGAAAATAGAATCATTTAATATCAGGCAATAAGAACAGAAATGTTGACAAATAAAATAAAAATTTTATCAAAAATAATCATTTTTTTATTACTTTAAAATCGATAAATAGATTAAGTTGTCTTGTCTGAGCGGCATGAGTATGTGATTCATAAACGGAAATGTATATCAAAACTAATGCGCAGTTACCTAAAGATAAAATACCAAGTGGTAATCAACATTTTCAACAAAATGTGACGCATTTAGTGATATATTGAATCATTTTCGGCATATTTTCGTCATTTTAGCAAATAAAACCAATCGAATCAATTTTGAATCAAATCTACACGAGAATATTAAAATGGAAGTTAACTTATTAAAAAATGCATTATGTGGTTCGTTTTCTTATTAACTAGATTTTATTATAAAAAAGTATTTTTCCCGAAAATAAATTTCACGTTAATATTTGAAATAAATGGTTCTTTTTCTCTGAAGCAATAAAAACGATTCATATATGATGTAATTTCCCCTTATCATCATAAGCATGACAAATCAATAACAAGGATGGCATAATTTCTCCCAACAACATTGTCGGAGTTCAAGTAAAATAATATAAATTGCGATAAAAGCAAAAGTATTTCATTAGTATAGAACATGCTGCAGGTAATATGCACAGAATTACATTTGTTTCCAATTAAATTTGCCTAATTTTGTTTTGAATGATTATCGGATTTTCTTTCGTTAGTTGAACATATTCTATATAAAGTAATATATATTAATTTTTGATAAAATTGTATTTTTCTATGTTGCTTTTTTTATGCCGCAGATTGTTTGCTATTGTACAAAATGATTATTTATTTATGTCAGTTTATTAATCATTGGTTTTTGTCACTTTTCTTTCAGTCACGCTTGACTCATTTTTATTTTGACATTTATATCGTTTTTACCTGTTTATGGTCACATTACAATCATCTACATATGGCTCATCAATAAAATTTGCCAGAATAATTTGCAATTAGAACAGAAGAGCGGTTAATTGCGTTGACGTGGTCAGCTAGAGAACATTCTACTTATTAGATTTTTGATCCATACTTAGAGTCGTTTTTTATTGGAGATAATAAACATCACCTTTATTACTTCCACGCTATACATGCTTGTCCAAATGACGAAAAGCGATAAGAACTTTCAATGTATTCACTGGTATATAGTCATTTATATAGCCGCAGAAATTGTGAAACTTGATCAATTCAATTCAATCAATCGAAACGATAAATTCAATTAAAATTAGCAATAACTTCGTGTTAATAAACGTATAAAAACTAAATTTCAAATCAAGTGAAGAAAATGAGTTTGAACAAAACGATCATAGTGATAGTAATTGCTGCGTTGGTGATGCAGTCAAAAAGTTCGATGCCTGATAATTCTGACAATTGCTTGTGTACACGTGAATATAATCCCATTTGTGCTTCGGATGGTATAACTTATTCGAATAAATGCCTTTTCGAATGTGAGAAAAAACAAAAACGCAACTTGGAAATCCGCGAACACGGTACATGTGATGAAGCCAGTATTTCACCAGTTAAAGAAAGCGCTTGTGTTTGTACACTGAACATCTCTCCTGTTTGTGGTAGCGATGGAAAAACCTATCCAAATAAATGTTCGTTAAATTGTGCACAACGTGAGCTCCGTGGTCTGACATTGAAACATCAAGGAAAATGCTCAAAAGATCTTCCAATTAACAATGAAGTAATTGAAATGGATTCCGTGATTGAACAATGCGCATGTCCTCTTATTTTATCTCCGGTTTGTGGCTCAGATGAAAAAACCTACTCAAATCAATGTGAGTTTGATTGCGAGAAGAAAATCACTAGAAATTTGAAAATAAAACACAATGGAGAATGCGAAAAGGCAGCTCATATGTGATTTAGAATGTTCAAAGTGCTGAAAAAAGCCGGAAATTGAAGTCCAACAACTGACAAGCTGTGACAACATAGCCATAATACAATTTTAAACTCTCTTTATTCAATTAAATTGCAAAATAAAATATATTTTTTGTATGTATTATGAAACTTATTCGTTTTATTTGCACATTTCCTTCCAGCCTTGTTAGCAAAAATAACTTTTACTGTGTGTTGGACCGATTTCGAAGATGCTAGTGGATTTATTTAGGAAAAGTTAATTCTTATGGTTTTTTCCTGAAATTAAATGGATATTATTCGTATTTTTTATTATTGTTTTAATTAATTTAATTTTTAATTTTCATTTAATTTTTAATTGTTTTTGTTTCCAATTACCTACTCTGTGTTTGTTTTCGATTTTTATTTGTCTGTTTTAGAAAATTAAATACGCAATGTATATAGCTAGCATATTGATGTCCCTTGCTATTGTAACTTTATCCTTATGTACGAGGCGCTTTCAGAATGATTGTATTCAAGGGAGAAGCGCTAGTAAAAGATTTTATACAACGCCATCTGATAAAGAAAAGACAACTATAACACAATTTATATTATTAAAGATTAGTAGATTGTATAAAGCGCCTCAATCTACGCAAATCAGAAAGCCAGTAAGTAACGCATTTCGAATGTATGGTAGTTACGTTACTTTATTCATATTCTTTTAAATAATATAAGTCAATTTTATTCTTCCCCTGCAAATGAAATAAATAGTAATAAAATAGTAAGTTTTTCTGGTTACCAACGTATGTAATAAATAAAATAATAAAAGCGACATTTATGCTACTCGAAAAAAGATTGATCAAATTTTGTTAGTCGGCCTCTTCAATTGTGTCTGTTTTTTTCGATGCAATTTGAAATATTGCACTTGAATAATTGGAAGAAAAACAATTTATACACACTTTTACCAAACCAAAAATTAATCTACTGCTGCCAATTCAAATTTACCGAGGAAATCATAGATTATTTATTATAGCAACTACGAACAATCAAGTTGATATCAGTGATGTATAAATGTGACGTACAATCCATCGCACACAAGCAATGATACGTCAAACTATGACGTATGATTTTAGCATGCTTCAATTGAACAAACATCATATCAAATGAAGTTCAAAATTCCAATAGAAAAAGATTCAATAGATTAATTAATATGCATTTTTATTCAGCTCTACTCACATTACCACTTTAGAAATCCAATAATCTCTACTTTTTTTAACATTGTTTGACAATAGAGAAATTTTGATGAATTCAAGGTTGAATCCATTGACCAAAGAAAAGTTCTATATTATAACCTGAATAAAGTGCGAATAATAAGCTTTATGTAATGATCTGTGCACGGTCACCTTGTCGTGGTTATCAAGCGTAATATATCGAAAACAGGCGACTTTCACGTTTATTAGTCCTAAGATGTACTCGAACTGCATATAGAAACAATAGAATTTACTCGAAATTCGGTGCAAATGCTTTGGAGCATGTTTCGACTTTTAATCGAATGCTTTTTCAAGTAGAATTTGTAGTCTGCTACTTTTGAGTTTGATAATAAGATTTTGTTGACAGGCGAAAGTGAACAAAACAATATTCACGTGAAATTATTTGTACACGTACTTATAATGACTGGTTTCTTTATTCGTTGACTATCTTATTTGAGCAACCAATCGCTGGTTCCTTCATTCATCATTTACATAAAGTACCATTATCACGTTTATCTTCGTACTACATGCGACGTATCAAACCTCATTTTATAAATCATTTTGAAGATTATTGCAATTTGAATATGCAGTTAAAGCGCAAAAGAAAAATATTTAGATGATAAATTGTAAGTAGAAGACATGAAAAATACATTATTTATTTCTTGAATAAAATTGTCATTTTTATTATGGACATTTCCTTCCAGCGGCCAAAGTACAATTAATAAATAATTTAAATAAAAGTTACTTAATCTTAGACATTTAAGCTATAAGTCTTGGCATTAGATCAATATCAATTATTATCAGAAACTTAAATTATGCTATGCTCAATTATCATTCGATGACTAACATCTGCCTTGATGTTTCACTTTCAAGCTTTTATTGCTCCTGCTAGCACAATTGAATGTGCATTCGTTGGTATAAGTTTTTCCATCATTTCCGCAGAGTGATGCGAAAATTCGAGCACAAACACAATCCTCAACTGCGTATGGAACTGGTACAACTTTTTCGTCTTCTTTGCATTCGCCTTTGTGTTTCAAGCTCAATCCTTTGATGTTTTTAATGGCGCAATTCAATGTGCACTCGTTGGTGTATGTATTTCCATCACTTCCACAGACTGGTGCAAAGTTCCGGGTGCAGATACAATCCTCAACTGCGTATGGGACTGGTACAACTTTCTCGTCTTCTTTGCATTCTCCTTTGTGTTTCAAGCTCAA